GTAAGATATAAATTAGAAGGCATTGAGCTTTTCAGCAGATACATTAGGAATCGAAATAATGATTAGTTTTTATCCTTTTTACTCCTGCTCTATCCCATGTAATCCTTTTCGTCGTATTTCTTTTGCACTGTGTTTCACACATAATAACAATCCGTGCTTAACAAATGTGTGCACATTCCACTGATCTGTTACTGAGTAACTATAGTACAAAATACTATCTAATGTGATATTATGATATCTAAACCAAACATTCTGTCCTTGTCTTAAAAGTTCAAAACTCTGGCAAATGCTTAACACTAGACTAATAGAAAGGACATCCTTAATTAAGGAAGAGAAGATGAGCCAAGAGCTAAGAGCTAAGAAGGCTCTTTGGGAGTAGGGAGAAGGGAACTAGGAAACCCTATATCGCCTATCATCTCCTCAGCTTGGAATCTATGCTCTGTGAAGATACTCATAGTCGCAGATAATGTTGAAAGGGGTGAAGACTGGGATATACACACACTACAAAGAGTTCGGGGATCTTTTTCTAGTGTCACTTGCCAAATTATGTCTTTCCCCTAAGACCATGGTCGGCAAACTGCGATTCTCAAGCCACATGCGACTCTTTGGCCCCTTGAGTGTGGCTCTTCCACAGAATACCATGGCCTGGGCAAGTCTATTTTGTAGAAGTGGCATTAGAAGAAGTTTAAGTTTCAAAAAGTTGGCTCTCCAAAGAAATTTCAATCATTGAACTGCTGATATTTGGCTCTGTGGACTAATGAGTTTGCTGACTAAGAGATTAAGGGGGGGAATTATAGACACAGACAACAGCATGGCAATTACCAGAGGGAAATAGAAGAGGGTGGTAGCAGGGAGAAGAGGGTAAAGAAGGGATTAATGGTGATGGAAGGAGGCTTGACTTGGGCTGGTGGACACACAACACACTGTGCAGATGCTGTTGTACAGATTACATATGAAACCTATATAATTTTTTTAACAAATGTTAACCGGCAGAAGGAAAAGGCTCTGTGCTTGGTACATATTTGGTGCTTAATGCATGCTTAAGTCATGCTTGTTGACTACATTAAAATTTTATGGTCATGGTTCATTTCCCGATCAGGGCACATGCCCAGGTTGCAGGCTCGATCCCCAGTAGTGAGTGCATGGGAGGCAGCCAATTTATTGATAAACACTGAATTTCATGCTTAGCAATTCTTGGGAGCCTTCGTCCTAAAGTCTATTAGGCAATAAAATGTGTGCAATGTCTACTCAGGCAGCAAGGGGCTCTGTGAAATAGTTGAGGTAGGTTTTAAATTGAATTTTAAACTAAGTCATTTCCCCCCCCATCAGGTTCCTCCCATTATGTAATCTTACAATATTATGACATTCTTATCTCTGATCTCACCAAAGGGCTGTATTTATAGCCGATTTTATAAATTCTTGTGACTCACCCCATAAAGTCTGTCATGAGCTAGAACTTTTAAAAAACCACAATGCCTCTGTTAGAGTTATGGGAGTTAAGTAATACCCAAATGTTTCCCCAGTTTTATGCTATTTATAAAATGTTAAGGAAGGTGCCCTCTCAGGTAGAGAAGTTCATGAAAGTTCCATGTAATGGACCATGGTGATTATGGTGATGATGATGATGAACATGTCTTCATTGCCTGTTAAGTACCAGGGACTGATTTGTGCTTTATTTTTAGTCTTCACAATCCCTCCACTTGCCCCAGTATATGGTATTTCATATTTGACCAGTAAAGAAACCGAGGCTCAGCTTGGCAGGTATAGATCAGTAGTTGAGCATTGGCCTATGAACCTGGAGGTCATGGTTCATTTCCTAGTCAGGTCACATGCCCAGATTTCAGACTCTATCCCCAGTAGGGGGCACGCCGAAGGCAGCCAATCCATGATTCTCTCTCACTATTGATGTTTCTATCTCTCTCTCTGTCTTCCTCTTTGAAAGCAATAAAAATCTATTAAAGAAAAAGGAAATTCAAGCTCAGTGAATGTGTTAATTATCCCAGAAATAGAAATATATAAATAATGGAGATAGAGTTTATTCCAAATTTGAAGTCTGCATAATACAAATTTAAATAAGGAATTCAACAAACAACTTAAAAAAAACAACAAAAAAAAAACAAAAACAAAACAAAACAAAAAAACACCATCCGCAACCCTGTCACTGTCCCAGTGCTTCCTCGGGGCCATAATTCTAGACAATTACTGCACATCCATCAAATCGCCAAGGAGCCTGTTTCGGATTTGGGTTCCATGAAGACCAGTGATTAGGCTGATTCTCCTTTGCTATGACCTCAGGGAAATGGGTTGATGCATGAATGTGTGAAATATCAGCAGTGAGATAATAAAATTACTACAGTCCAGCAATACCTGCAAAGTTTATTTATGATGCAAAAGTGATAATTAATCCTCCAGACATTTTGTAGCCCTTTTAAGAGTCAGAGTCCACATGATATGTGTCACGTTATTTTACAATTGAACTTGGGACCTCATTGGTCTCATCAATGACCCCCCAGAAAAAATGGTTTTTGGTCTCCTTTTTGTAATACAACAGATGAAAGTGCTTTGCAGTGAGCACTTTCTCAGGCTCAGGATTCAGTCCAGAGCACTGTTAATTCATATATATATATATATATATATATATATATATATATATATATGCCTCTGGGTTCTTAAGTCCTTTCTGAATTTCTCTAAGCATCCTGGGGTAAGGTGTGGGTAGGTGTATTATGCCTAGTATATAGATGTAAGTCAGCTTCTTAGTGTTCTTTTGTAGCTCTTCACTGAATCAGGAGTTTTAATTTTCATTTTACAATATTTTCTCAAGGAATTTAGCAATAAATTATCGCCAATAAAATTAAGTGCTTTTTAATATTATTCCAAACTGTTAAATGATGCTTGTCTTTGGTGTGAAGGATTTAACATAGATGCCTTTTTCCCTGGTGTTTGCATCTGATATAAAGAATAAGGATACTATTTTTAACAAAAAAGAATTTGTTAAAGGGGGAAAGGAATAATCTATCTGTCATCTATCTACCTATCTATCTATGAATCTATCTATGTATCTGCCTACTCATCTGTCCATCTATCTATCTTGTCATCCATCTGTTGTCACAATTAGATATAGAAACAAGTAAGTACTAGATATACAGAAATAAGAAAAGATGCATAATGATCTCTGTTTGAAATGAAATCCACTAAAATATTAAAAATACAAAACTGTACCTGTAAAATTCTGGGAAATTTAATTTTCCCTTAGATTCTTAGTTTAAACTTGTTTATATAATAAATGTTCATAAAAATATATAAAAAATAAAATATGCCCAGTACCAGTACCTGCAAACCAGGTTTCTTATTAGGGTCCCAGGGTAGCAATGAATGGAGAGATGTCATGGGCATTTCTTAGGAGACCACCTTAACCATAAAGGCTTCCGGCTGTCCTTTCTCCTAAAATGGGATTGTACGTGACCTTTGTCTTAGTTTGGGCTGTTGTGATTATGGAACAGCATAGACTGGTGGCCCAAACCACAGCAATGTACACTGACTGGCCAGATGATTATGATCTCTGAATGCATAATAATATGGCCCCTCAGTGTATATCCTATATAATAAAAGGCTAATATGCAAATTGGCCCCTCGACCAGGAAGTTAACCAGCAAGCAGGCAGGCCGGCCAACCGCCATGTCCCTTTCTCCTGGCCAGGCTGGCTGGACCCCACCCATGCACAAATTCATGCACCAGGCCTCTAATATATATATACTGAATGGTGAGATTATTATGCATTCAGAGATCATAATAATCTGGCCACTCAGTGTATTTCTCACAGTTCCAGATGCTGGAAGTCCAAGACCAGGGCTCCAAACCAGATTCCTGCTTTGCAGGTGGTTGTCTTCCTGCCATCTCACTGGCAGGAAGAGAGGGACCCTGTGCCAACTCTTTATTTAAAAAAAAATAAGGGCATTAATTCCATCATGAGGGTCCCACACTCAGGACCTAATGTAATTATAATTATCACCCAAAGGACTTACTTGGAAATTCTACCACATTGGGAATTAGGATTTTAGCATATGAGTTGCAGGGAGATACAAATTCAGTTCACAATGCCCTTCTTCTTTGGGCTTTTATTCTATCCTGTTTCAGTTCATTTCACTGCTGTCTTATGGCCAATTTTTCTAGTTATACCTTGTGTTTCTAATACCTGACATTTCATAGTGAAAGCACAGATATTGATTTATAATGTGGATATTGATAAATACTATGGAAAACTAATTCCTATGTAATTTTAATACTTAGTACACCAGAGAAGCAGTTGGCTCTAGACATAATACTGTCTTATCCAAATTTTTTTTCAATAACAAGTCCATTTAAAATATTTAATTTCATGGAATCTAGTAGTATAAATCAGTTAAAATAGCTCTTCCAACTTTTAAAATTTATTAAAAGAGAATCAGTGATAAATCAGATGAATAGAGACTGATAGAAAGCCTAAATATATACTTTACCTAAAATAAAAACAAAACATACCAGCAAAAATGAATCCACACATGTTGTCTCTGATTCAATGGAAGTTTAACACAAACATCCATTTCCTCTGAACTGCCATAATCTACCCACTGCCCGGCCCCATCCTGCGCTGAGCTTGAGTTTATCCTCTTAGATGATATTTTGTGGCAACTGCTAATTACCATAAGCTGTCCAATAAATGTGATGGATTGCCCAATTAACTCTTCATCCACATCCACTTCTGAAGATGCTACCCGTTGAAATCGGTGGTGGGATGTCTGACCTCCTTGCTGCATAGATAGCTAATTACTCCTTGGACTGCGATTATCAAGTTCCTATTGCCTCATCCAGTCGTTTTGTTTTGCAAATGATGATGCCACCGAGTCTCCCAATTCATTTGGTTTCAGGATGATGGCTCTCCGAGGATGACTAAAGGTCCGCTGGGGGCTGCCTGGATCACGTGAGCATGGAAGTGGATTACAGGTCTATCTGTTTTGTAGGTTTTCCATCGACCGGCACACTGACCTGGAGAGGCAATTCAACATTAATGCAGATGATGGCAAGATCACGCTGGCCACGCCACTTGACAGAGAGTTAAGTGTATGGCACAACATCACGATCATTGCTACTGAAATTAGTAAGTGCCTGGGTTTCATTATTTTCCTTGTGTGACTGGGTGCGCTTTATGCCTCATGATCACGTGATCAAGGGTCCGTGTTTGCATTAGAGAGCATGGCATTGGAAACTCTTTCATTATTCCCAAGGAGCCTTTGATGAATCACCTCAGCAAGAAATAACTTACATTGGGTTAACTTACCAAAGGTTGCAACATTCTTATATTCAAATATTATTATAACCTATACCCGTTATTCACCATTAAGAAACATTTAAATGTTGTGCATGTTAAAATATGAGGGAAGATTTAGTATGAAAGGGTGGGTAATAAATAGAACTCAGGGACTATATACTATAATTAAAACAGACACTAACATATGTTATATACCAGTGGTCTGCAAACTCATTAGTCAACAGAGCCAAAATATCAACAGTACTACAATTGAAATTTCCTTTGAGAGCCACATTTTTAAACTTAAACTTCTTCTAGTGCCACTTCTTCAAAATAGACTTGCACAGGCCGTGGCATTTTGTGAAAAAGCCACACTCAAAGGGCCAAAGAGCCACATGTGGTTATATAAATATAGAAACTATCGCTTATATATTTGAGCCTCACACATGCATATACACACATATTGGCAGAAAATATAGACAGAGACCTCATCCTATCAATACATGTTAATCTGGAGAGATGAATTTATAGATGGTTTTTTTATTTTGGTTTTTAGAGTTCAATGTATTTTACACATTAATTATAGACTGTCTAAAACTATATGTTCAATACAATTTTTTTCATAAATGACATGCAAAAATGTAAACATTCTGGATTTGTTAAAATAACCTATGTTGGTCTTTCTGTCCATTTTTTTTTTTTTTGTGCCTAACGCTTCTTTGATTGCACTTAATGTCACTACTATTGAGTCTCCAAAGAACAGCTATCTGGTGACATTAGTGTCTTTGAGAACTTGCACTCTGTCTTACATTTTTATTATTATGCAAAAACATGCAAAAGGGACATGCTGTTCATTTCATTTCTAAAGAAAGCATATCCTGCATATTATCCAAATCTCTTCTTCCCATAAAGGGGCTGGTCACAGAGATTCAAGGCAGCATTAAAATCTTGAGGGAGCTGGGAATCTGAATATGGAAATGAAAACTGACAGGAAGCGAAGTTCACTGGCAATGTTACTTGAGTGTGTGTCGATGATACTTTCAGGGGCAGGACCTAACTTTTGCTCTCTCTATAATCTGCTCTTTGTTTTCACAGTCAATGTGAAGACAGGGGAAATATCTCTGAGGTACATGATCAGTTTGTTCGTGCAGATGAAAGTAATCTAGACCTTTAGGAAGGGCATGGGGTTTCTTTTTCTGAGATGTGGGGAAATGTCCTCCATGGAACATTGAAACACAATACACACACACACACACACACACACACACACACACACACACACATAACCCCTAGCCAGTTTTGCTCAGTGGATAGGGTATCTGCCCGTGAACTGAAGGGTTCTGGGTTCAATTCTGGTCAAGGGCATGTTCCTCATTTGCAGGCTCATCCCCCAGCCCTGGTCTGGGCATATGCAAGAGGCAACCAATGTGTCTCTCTCACATCAATGTTACTCTCTGTGTCTCTCTCCATCCCTTCCACTCTCTCTAAAAATCAATGGAAAATATCCTCAGGTAAAGATTAACAAAATAATATAAAGAAAAATAAAATAAAAAATAAAATACATCACTGGGTGAAAAAATGAAAATTCTAGAGAGAAGGATGTCTGTTTCTTATAGCAACCTCAACTGCAGGCGCTAAACCTGCCATCAGGTTGATATGTTGCTTTGACAATACCAAGTTGATGGGTCTGGAGAGGCATGAGCTTTGGACCCTTGGGTGTTTATCCTGGCTTTTGAGTGCCCTCGAGTCCCCTTGTGACATGAAGGGATGAAGCAGACACAGTGTACCACTGGTGCCTTTGACTCACTAGTCATGTTCACCCATCTAGAGAGGCACAGGCGACCAAGGTTTGTCATTTACAAACGCTGCATTGTCACCTTCAGTCTCTGAGAAAAACCCCTGTGTGTTTAGACTCGTCTAGAGCTTTCTAGAAATGCTCAGTGGGATCATCGTTTTCTCTCATGGAGGCAGGCAGTAATTACTTTTAAGCACTGTCCTGTATATTGAACACACCCTACTTGAGTTGTCCAAGAAGCAAGGTTAATTCAGGAGGTTGACGTCTCAAGAAACATGAAACTATACACTTAGATAGCAATCTGCTTTTTAAAAAAAATGTTTGCGTGTAACTTCCTTGGAAAAGGGAAGAATAAGCGTACAAAAGAGAACTTTATATTTTAGCTATGAAGTATTAGCTGAGGTGGGCATAAATTTAGAAGCTTTAAATGTACAATGAAGTCATCTTTGTCTAAATCATGAAAAGAAGTAGAATTAATATAACCAAAGGGAACTTGAGAAAAATTGTAATTACTAAGAAAACAGCTTATAACTTGTTTTGACTTGGTTTTATTATTTAGCTCCTCACATGTTTACCTTGCAAAGTCACAGACCAGGTCTTGGAGAAAAAAATTATTAAAGAAAGATTTATTGTATTTGGATGAGATGAATATTTAAAACCACCCAGGACAACAGAACCCCTTAGGGAGAGGGTCTAATAAAGTTAAAGAAATATTTGTTCCAGGCAGAACAATTTAAAATTACTCTCAGAACGCCATCTCATCAGGCAAAGATTTAAACAAATGAAATTAGGCTAAAAAATGGATATTAGGGAAGTCCATCTGTTATCTCTTAATGAGGATGAAGATATTGTCTTTTATCCTCTTGTGTCAGAGTCACTTAACCAAGGCAAGATGCTCCGCTGTGTGCATTGCCCAAGTGTTTCATTGGCAATAGATCTAGCCTGCCGTCACAGCCAACCGGCACATCTCATTACAGGAGCTGGCGGTTCGAAGCCCACGTGCTAACAAGAGGTTGAGCACAGCTAGCGTATCTCTGCTAAGTGTCTCTGCTCTAGCAACCCCATCCTCTGCAGCTGTGGTGTAGGGCCCTTGCTGTTTACCTCAGTGGTGAAGGTTTAAGGTACATTTATCTAATTTACTGCCAAAAAAGCAGAAGAGAAGCCCTATGATGCATTGAATTGTCACACCACTGTGAAAGTAGGTACTATATATATATATCAGAGAGGAAGGGAGAGGGGGAGAGAGAGACAGAAACATTAATGATGAGAGAGAATCATTGATCTGCTGCCTCCTGCACACCCACTACTGGGAAATTGAACCCTTGACCAGAATTGAACCTGGGACCCTCCAGTCCACAAGCCAATCCCTCTATCCACTGAGTCAAACCAGATAGGGTGGAAGTGTTATATGCATTTTTCAGATGAGGGAACTCAGACACAGGTTAGGTAAGGTACCCCATTTTTATAGAGAGCAAGAGTTGGGTTGGGGTGCAGGATGGGTACCCATACTGATTAACTGCAGATCCCGTGCTCTTAGCTGCCTTCCATGGAAGAAACCTCTCTTCTATCTTCTTCCCTTGCCCTCTCCTGCTTCAAGTGAGTAGCTGGCACTGTCACACTTCTTCCAGAAGCAAGTGAAGGAAGCCGTTCTTTGCTAAGCAGAATGGGAGGGGCAGCGTCAAGGATGCCCTGGAGGAAAGAACAGACATGCATTCAGTCTGGCTCTTCTGTTCTGATGTTTGTGACCCAGGGTAGGGATATTGCCTAGTCCAGTGGTCGGCAAACTCATTAGTCAGCAGAGCCAAATATCAACAATACAATGGTTGAAATTTCATTTGAGACCCAAAAACCGACTTCTGCACATGGGCCACGAAGTTTCAATCGCACTGTACATGCATGCCCACACGTGGTATTTTGTGGAAGAGCCACACTCAAGGGGCCAAAAAGCTGCATGTGCCTCGTGGGCCACAGTTTGCCGACCACTGGCCTAGTGGACAGAGCTGAGCTGTGGGACAGGTCAGGCTGGAATTCTGTTCTCATTTTAGAGATGAGGAAACTGAGTAACAGGGAAGAGAAAGCACAGGGTAGTGCATTGGAGAGGATAGCATTTTTCAGTGAAGATCACAGAGACGTCACCTTACCCAGCTGATTCACATCATCTGGAAGACTATAAAAAACCAACACAAGTGAGTTTCAGCTGTTCTCAGAATAACACTCTCAAGGCAGGGATTCCAGAATCCACGTTTCACAGGCTCCTCCCACCTCCTCTCCAAGCCCCACCCCCAGTCAGATAACAACACTGGGAAGGGAGGCAGAGGTAAGCTGTTCTTTTTTATCTGTAATTTTTGTGATGCTTCTTGACAAGGTGACATTTTATGGAGCTGAGATTCAAACTAAGACAGCACTCAGGATTCCTTTAGGTGGAGCAGGTGGTAAGACCTGCTAAGAGATACTACCAGGTGTCAATAAGCACAAGCTTAGGAGAGAGAAAGGAGATGGGAGGAGGGGGGAGTTGGGGAGTCAATTTGCCTAGAATAGTTTCTGCAGGGGCATTGTGGAGGCACTGGCTGCCAATTCCGGGGTGTTCTTCCCAGAGAAATTGTGTGATGGGAGGTGGAGAATCCCACTGACACGGGGTACCTGGAGCAGACAAATGGCGTTTACAGAAAGCACAGTAGTACTCTTGGTTACCTGCAAGTGTTTTAAAGCAGGAAGCATGTAACTCCCCACTCAATTAATCTCTTTCAGTTAGGGATAATGCATTGCTCTGACCCACCACCGTGGGCTGCACACAACGCTGCAAATGAAGCTATTTGCTAATGATGGTTAACTCTCCCAGGGAAAACAGCAGTTTGATGGCACTTAAGGAATGTTTCTTCTTGGCATAGGGCCCGGTTGCCAGAATAAATGTTCTGTCCAGCCCCGGACACTTCAGAAAAGCACCTCTTTATGGTTCATTCGTTATTTAGAGAAAGCTTAGGTTCTAGAGTTGGCCTCCGTTAGCTGTGTCTTGGCCAAATAACATTGGGCAGTCAATTTCTCCTTCCTTGCTCTA